ATCTGTCTATCTATCTATCTGATGAATAAAGAAAAGGTTAAAGTCAGAAATGAAGAAATGCTCAGTCACATACTTTCTCTTGGGATGGATGTGGTTTATGAGGATGCTACAGAAGATGCCCTCAGGTTTGGTACCCTGTCTATCCTGTCCAAGAGTGAGTCAGGGAAATAGGGTTGGACCTTGAGATTTCAACATAACAAAAAACAAAGTAATGCCAGGCACTCAAGCCCCTATCTACGGCTAAGACTCTTGTTTTATTTTTATTCAACTGACCCAGCTGAACTATTCCAGACCAGACCAGCTTTTTCTGCCCAATGTTTTACAACTAAAATTTTCAAATACACTGAAAACTTGAAATAATTGTACAGTGGACAACCATATACCCATCACTTGGATTCTGCAATTGTTGTATATTGCTCCACTTGTCCTATGAACTGAATGTATGTATCTTCCCCAAATTCATATGTTGAAGCCCTCATCTCCAATGTGATGGTATTTGCACATGGGACATTTGGGAGGTAATTAGGTCATGAGGGTGGAGCCCTCATGAATGGGATTAGTGCCCTTACAAGAAGAGACATGAGAGAGATGATTTCTCTCTCCACCATGTGAGGACACAGCAAGAAGGTGTCTGTCTGCAAACCAAGAAGAAGGTTCTCACCAGGAACTGAATCAGTGGACGCCTTGATCTTGGACTTCACAGCCTCCAGAACCATGAGAAATAAATTTCTGTTGTTTAAGCCATCCATTCTATGGTATTTTTTGTTACAGCAGCCTGAGCTAAGACAGTTTGCTTTCTCACATATCCATGCACCTATCTAGCCATCAATCCATCTTAGCTGTAGCGATCATTGCTCTTCACCCCTAAACATTTCAGCATGCACTTCATTAGCTAGAGTTCAATATTTTATGAATCTCTTCTATTTTAAGGTAAAATTTACATACAGTGAAATGCACAAAGCCTAGTAACATTCAGTAAGTTTTAAGAAGTGCAAACATCCATTTAACCCACACCCCTATCAAAATATAGAACATGCCATCACCCCAGAATATTCCCTCATGTCCCTGCCCAGTCCATCCTGACATCGATGCCAATGCTGAGTTAACCACTCTTCTGCTTTTTTTTCCACTATAGATGAGTTTTGCTTATTTTACAATTTCACATAAACGGAATTATGCAGTAGGTACTATGTTTCTGAGATTCCTCCATGTTATTGAATGCCTCCATTAATTTCATTCCCTTTTTATTGCTGTATAGCATTATACTATATAAATATATCTTAATTTGTTTATTCACAAGGACATGAGGGCTCTTGGCAGTTTTTGCCATTATGAATAAAGCTGCTATGAACATTCTTGTGCAGGTCTTTTTTTTATTTTAACTTATAGGGAAATGCCTAAGAATGGAACTGCTGGATTTTCAGTGCATGTTTAATTGTATATGAAACTGCCAAGCCTTTTCCTAAAGTGGTTGCTCCATTTTACTCTCCCAACAAGAATGTATTCTCCATATCCTCACCAACACTTGGTGGAATCAGCCTTTTTAGTTTTAGCTGGGAGGTGTTGCGGAGACTCATATCTCTAGGAATGCTCCCACCAGCTCCTGCCCATCAGAGCAAAACTTGCCTTTCACTGAGCCCTCTCTCCCAAGGAGTTAACTTCAGAAGTTTGGAGAGTGGTGCTTATATTTCCAGTGGCTTATTTCTTCTAAGATCCTAAAAGAGGAAAAGAACTTCCTCTATCTTGTCCAACTCCTCCATCTTGCTTAGCAAAAAGAGTTTAAAATATCAGAACAGTCATCTGACTGGATCAAGTTAGCAAGTTCCAAGTTATCCTTTGTCTTATATATATTTTGAGGCAAAAGATCCTCTCTTCGTCTCTATTTCCAGCGAGATTTAGAACCTTCAATATTCTAGAGAAGAAAAGTCCCTAGTACTTAGGCTCAGCCGATTTTCCTTCGGGCTTCCCTAAGAACCATTCCTCACGTTATCATAGCCCCCGCGTAAGGCAGGATTCATGTCCCCTCTTTACAGAGGAGGTAACCGCACCTGAGAATAGAATCTCAAGCACAGGATGTGTGATCCTCACACACACGTTCCTACCTGTGCCTCTCCCCCGGCGGGCAGCTCCGCCGTCGTGGACTCTGCCACGGAACCAGGGCCTCCTGCCCTCCCTCCACCTCCACCGTGCAGACAAAGCACTTGGCAGGCTCCCTCCGTGACTCCCCACTCCCAAGCCCATTCACCTCCCCACTTGCATCCTCTCTGCTTCTCCCCCTCGCTCTTCCAACTCTGCTCAGTTACCTCCTAAAACTCTTGTTGCCTTTCCTTTCTCTCTCGTTCTTTTCCATATGGGAACTAAAAATGTATCCTAAGCTTGCCTGAGGACTGCCCAAGTACCGCTAGTGGCGTCACTAAGAGAGACATAATGAAGAACCAACGCCAGCAACGTCTAAAGCCCTGGAAGGGGCCAAGAGGTCCCTTTCAGAACCTCTACAAAGGAACTTTCTCCTTTCTCAACCCCTCCTAATTAAACTGGCTTTTCCTCAAGTACCAACATTCTACACAAACAAAACACTTTTGTCTTCACTATTGGGTTTCTGTGCTAATTACTAGCATCACAGCAACATTGTCTTCTATTACTTCAGTTGCAAAGATACAGCATGTCAGTCACGTTTTAAATTAAATTGCAACACTATGTCTATGAAAAATCATGTAGTAAATGCCAAACTGACAAACTTTTGGAATAAAATCAATTTTTTGCTATTTTTGCCTTTTTTTCCTATTCAGTTTTAAACATTTGTTACAAGAATTTCCTCTTTGGCATATCTTCTTTCATGTAGAAATGTATGAAAATACAATAGTACCATCCTCAGCATCACAGCTTTATATGTATTATCCTTACCTGGAAAGTACATATTATTACGAACCAATTTTACAGATGAGGAAACCGAGATTCAGAAAAGTTTAGTAACTCACAGCTAGTAAGTGGCAGAGCGTGAAGTCACACCTTAGTTTGTCAGCCTCCAGATGATGCTTTCTTAGCCGCCATGCTGTCCTTCTCCCCTGTATGGCCTGTGCCACCCAGCACACAATTAAAGCTTTCCAGCATGGTCCAGGATAAGCCACAACTGTGTGATCCACCTCCCCATCATTCTCTGCAGCTCTACCACGTTCTTCCCCCAAAATTGTTCAGATCTCACCAAATCTCAGAAGGACAGGGAAAGAGACTGGCAAAAGCTCTGAAGGAAAAGCAGTAAATCCAGATCTTTAGTAAATTTAGAGCTATTTTTTGTTTTTTTGGAAGAGATCAGCCCTGAGCTAACATCTGCCAACCCTCCTCCTTTTTTGCTGAGGAAGACTGGCCCTGGGCTAACACCCATGCCCATCTTCCTCCACTTTATATGGGATGCCGCCACAGCATGGCTTACCAAGCAGTGAGTCCGTGCATGCCCGGGATCCGAACCGGTGAACCCCGGGCTGCTGCAGCGGAACCCACGCACTTAACCGCTTGCGCCACCAGGCCGGCCCCAGTGGAGCTATTTTTTAAAAAAAAGCTGTATCTAGCAAAGAGACTCTAGCTATGCAATTAATAATCAGCACCTATTATGCATTTTAAATAGCTCTCACCTGGCTCTGAGCATGGGCACAGAATCTGGCTTATGCACCTGGGCTATTCTGTTATCCAGAGTGCTAGGCTTTCCTTACTAACTGGCTCTAATGGCTTTAATCAGATTGGCTGACAAGATACCAGGGAACAGAGCCTTCATGGCTGCAGCACAGTCCAAGGCTAAGAAGAGTGAGAGCCCAGATTTGGTTGAAGGAGCTGACCTTTTTCTACCAGCTCTGCTGGCCCTTCACCTGATGCTGACATGCGAGGCCACAGACCACCGACTCGTGCAGCCTACTGCATTGTTACTGACTTCCTCCTTATTTCAGTAAGACTTCGGTGCCTGTGGTGAACAGGTTTACCAGCCCTCCACTCTTCCCCCTCTAGTTTACCTTCCTGTACTTGAACGGCTGGAAATTCAACAACAATATTTTCCAGACTCTCTTGCAGCTAGCATTCGAGATACAAATTAGATTCCTCCGATTAGATGTACTTGCATGAGATCCAGAGGGCAGAACTGAGGCAAAAACCATCTTCCTGCCCCCTTTCAAGCTGTTTCGCTGACAAGTAAGACCATGAAAGGTGAGCTAATTCTTTCGCAGCATCATTCCAGCGTCCAATCTCCATCTTCTTGGGTCCTGAGAGGCAGCTGGCAGCAGCAGCTTTTTTATTCTGGCTTCCTGGCTCCTGGACTGCAGCTATGGGAGGATGTTTGAGCCCCTTTCTAGTGGTGATCTCAGAAGTGGTAGCGCCCCCTGGTGAGTCAGGCCCAGATCTCGCGCCTCCGCCTCCTCCATCAACACTACAACCACTAACGTTTCTTGAATGCTCACTATGCATTAAGCACTGTGCTACACACTTTCCATAAATCATTTTATTTGAACCCCAAAACAACCCATGAGGGAGGTATTATTAATATCCCTTTGTTCCAGATGAGTCTATTGAGATTCAGAAAAGAGAGGTAAATTGCCCAAGATCAGAGCAAAGCCAGGGGGTAAGCAGGTAGAGCTGGGATTTGACCCCAGATCTGCCTCAGCCCAAAGCCTGAGCTTTGCCGCTTTACAGATATGTGAAGGGCTGGGACCTTTCAGCCGATTTTAATTGCCCATACACATGATGTAGCTGAAAAGACATCATTCTTTTCCCTTAAACGACATATGTGTAGAGGCCAGCCTATTTCATGTCAAGATGCATCTAAATATCGAAGAAGCCTTCAATCTAGTTAAATAGAAAGGCAATTAAAAAGTCCAGAGGTATCACTTTGTAAAAACTTGTCTAAGCCATACCAAGATCATTTTTATTGTAAGAATTAAAGACTTAAGATAAAAGCAGTCACAGCCTTCTACTTGCCCCTGGAAGGACGAGAGCTGGAGGAACAGACACGCACTTACCCGGTGCTCTGTTAACAGCGAGGTTTCGGAAATGGCTGCCTTTGATCATTTCCACAGATAATCGCCCCGTTGTGGCGTTGTAGGACAGCCCCACCAGCAGCTCTGGCACCCCTCCATGAGCCAGCGACTGTGTGGATGAAGCACTGTCGCTGTGAGACACTGCAGATGGGCTGAGCGGAGACTCTCCACTCTGCAGGGAAGAACAACAAAGAGCCCATTGGCCCACACCACACTCGGCTCTCTGCAGAAAGCCAACGTTATGTGTGGTAAAACTGTGGCCCCATCTCAACCGCTGCCAAAGATTACTAACAGCGCACTTGGTGTGAATGATAATGGGCCTGGGAGCACAGGCATGGACGAGATCCCTGTGTTATTAATGACATATTTGTTTCAAGAGCTGTCTCCATTCAATATTTCCTCTCTAAAGACAAAACGGACAAAGATGTTATTACTAGTGTAAATCAAACGCTCTAGGATACATGGAGAGCTAGCAATACATTTAATATACACCAAAATTCCCTCCTGGGTGATTTGTGCTGGAATGTTTCTGTGGAACCCATCCACTCTAGGCATGAGTTTTGTTTCTGTTCTCTGCGGCTTCTTGATGAACGAAGCAACACAGGAGGCATTTTCTCTTCACTAGAAAAGAAATGAGAGACATCTACCACCACAGAACATTTGGCCCCTAGTTCTGCTTCTTAAGGTTGTCAGGAATATGCCAGAAGCAGCATTCTTCCTCCTAAGGAAATGAATTACATTGAAAATGAGCACTTCTACAACTGTTTGATAAGGAAGCCGACACACGGACTGAGGATCTCAGAGACCTTGCAGGCACCAGAGAACCCAAGAGAGAGCCCACACTTGGTTATGTTTATTCACAGGCATGCTTCTCCAAAGCGCCCACCTTCATGCACCAGACACATTGGGAAGAGGAGAGCAAAGTAGATCAGGACGTTGACTCGCGCTCGAGAAGCAGGAGTGGGAATGGGCCCTGGGGGAGCAGGCCAGCCAGCCTCCTGGAGCCACTACTTCCCCCACTGGAAATAAGTGCACTGGACTTTGCTCAAACCTTTCTTCTCAACATCTGAAATCATTTCCTAAAACTTTTTATCAGAAATCCCCAAAAATAAACACCTTAAAAGGAATTAAATATTCTTCACATCTGTAGGAAAATATCTACAGCCATGGGCATCTCTGTAGAGCCCGAGTTTTCACGGAACACAGTTCATAAACTGTAGGGCTGGGTGGTTTTGGCAGGTGACTTATGGCCCCTGCTGTCTAGATGATGGTAATCCAACAACGAAGTATCTGCTTAGTTTTGGGTGAGGACCACTCTCTCCTCTGTGTTTCTACAGAAGCAACTACTGTGACATCCATCACTGCACAGCTCAGCTCTCCCATCAAATTATGAATCCTTACAAATCTCTCAGTCCACAGTGCAGAGCCCGATGTCTGGCACATAAACATGCTCAACAAGTAACTGGTGAATGGAAGAATTTTTACCTTCAAAGTTCTTTTACACTGGCTCATTTTCCCCACTCAACTCTGCATCCCCAGCACACAGTACAGGGCCTGGCAAAGAGAATTAGGGGTGTGCCCACACCTGTCCTTATGCTCTATAGTGTAGGATTCCTTCCGACCTCCTACGGCGTCTGTTTTCCATGATTTCAGATATACTTACTCAGAGCTTAAGAATAAAGAGGGATTTGAGTAGAGACGAGACATGATCTGGCTTATGGTTTAAAAAGCTCATCTGGCCCCCGTGTTGGGAATAGTCTCTAGGGGGCAAAGGCAGAAGCAGGGAGACCACTCAGAGGCCATTTCAATAATCCAGCAGTCAAGTTCTGGTTGTATTTTGAAGATAGAGCCAATAGGATTTTAGGTGGAAAGGAGAGAAATCACAAATGACTTGTAAGATTTTTGGCCTGAGAAACTAAAAGGATGAAAATGCCTTTAGCCCAGATCGGAAGACTGCAGGTGGAGTGGATTTAGGGAGGCAAAAATCAGGAGTTCAAGTCTGGAGATATTAATTTTGAGAAATTAAAAATTTAAGCGGCTGGATCTCCCACCACTACACTCCGGCCTTTCTGGCTCCTTTCCTCTTCCTCAGACATGGGAGGCTCCTTCCCACCTCCCGACGCCTGCACACACCATTCTCTCTGTCTGAAATCCTTGTCCTCCACCAGTCTCGCTCCCCTGATTGCATGAGTGCTGTGTTTTGTCACCACCTCAAAGAAACTTTCTTTGACCCTCCTGAATAACAGCAGCCTCTGTCATTCTCTTTCTTCGCCTACCTTGGTTACTGTTGCCCTCCCCCACCAGACTGTAAGCTCCCGAGAGCAGAGTCATCAGCCATTTGTTCCTTCCTGCATCCCCTTTGCCCATTCGTACCTGACATATAGTAGGCACTCACTAAACATTTTTTTGTGTGAGGAAGATTAGCCCCGACAGAGCTAACATCTGTCACCAATCCTCCTCATTTTGCTGAGGAAGATTGGCCCTGGGCTAACATCCGTGCCCATCTTCCTCTACTTGATATAGGATGCCGCCACAGCATGGCTTGACAAGCGGTACATCGGTGCACGCCCAGGATCCAAACCCCAGGCCGCTGCAGCAGAGCGCACGCACTTAACTGCTACGCCACCAGGCCGGCCCCACTCAGTAAACATTTTTGAATAGATGACTGATTGGCCAAATAGCCCAAGAGAGCTACCTGATCTTTTTACATGGTTTTTAAAAGGAGACCCTCACACTTGATGACATGTAATCCACATGTCATTAGACATGTCTAATCGTAGACATCTGAGCTGTGCTGGCTTTCCTTAAAACCCCAGGATACAGAGCGGATGGGGCATATGGGAGGAGCCTGGCCATACACATGGAAGGTCTCAGAAGTGGCTGGAGTTCAGGACTGCTGTCACAGCCTACTCAGGCACACTTGTTAAGCACTTCACCTTGAAAGTCCCTTCTTTGAGACTCATCATAATGCATACTGGGGGCAGGGCAGGTGGATGGGGGGTCAGACCACTTATCAGCTAACCAGAAGGTCAAGCCACCTCTCCTGGTTTTTCTACACTCTCCACCACACTGCTGCTGTCGTTTCCTAAAATGGACGAGGACTGCATCCATCAGGTTATAGAGAATATGAGCACAAAAAACCCATTGTACCATGAAGTGCAAATCATGGCTTATAAGGATGAGGAGAGCCAAATGGAAAATTACATTAAGGTGTTTGAATTCACAGGCCGAATGTACTAAATCAAGGGCTAACAATTCCAGGTCCTCAAACACACCGAGGCATTAGCAGCACCAGTTCACATACTCACACTGATATTACTTCTTGGCTCCAGGACCAGAGTCACTTTCATCTCCCCTTCTGGGTGCAGGTGACTGAGATAGAACAGCTTCTCTCCCATCATTCTCTCACGGGTCATCTTGCGGGCAGCGTACAGGCGGAAGCGGACAGCACAGGTAGCCACATCTCTGGCCTCCAGCCTGGTGAAGGTAACCTTCTCCTTGAAGACAGGGCTGGGCCCTCGCTGTATGCTTGTCCTGCCCCTCTGTTTCTTACTGGGTAGCAGCACTACATGAACTTGCCAGGAGTTGACGCCGCTTCGGTCCTTATCCGGGAGGCCCTGTGCTCTCACAATGGTCACTGTGAGCTTCTGGCTGGCAGCTCTATATTCAAAGATGACATCCAGGTCGCCACATTTTGAGATGGGCTCTGGGACCCCAGATGGCACCTGAAAATTGGTCCCATCCTGTTCCTGTAGCAGAGAGAGGAAATGATTAGGAATGGAATGGAAATAATAATGCCCAATTACATTTTGGAGAGACAGTGTCTCTCTGTGCTCCTTCAGAACCGAGTACTTGTTCACTGCTAGCACACATCCTTTTACCTTAGAAAGGTCTGTTTACTAGTCTATCTCTCCTTTAGATTGTGAATTCTTTGAGGGTACAGTGTTTACCTCATATAGTGAGCCTTCATGAATGCTTTTGGAATGAATGTACAAAGCTTTTATATTCTGCAAAGTGTTTTCATATACACTGCAACTCAAAAAGCACAAATGACCACTATCATTGAAACCAACTGAAATTCTAAGTCAAAAATTAGTCAACTATGCAACTGCCAAGAGGTAACTTTTCCTTGAGTCCCCAGGAGAAATGGCTGAGCCTGGGCCTGTGCTCTATGGGCCAGGACTCCTGCAGACAAGAATCCTAATGAGAGTCATGGTCAGGTGATCCTTCAGTAGATTTTCAATATATATAGGAGAAACAGTTTATGGCAGAGCTTCTCAGATGTTCATGTGGATTTGAATCATCCAGGGAGTCTGATTCAGTGGGATCGGAGTGGGGCCTGAGACTCTGCACTTCTCAGAAGGTCACAAGGATGTTGCAGGTGGCCTCAGATCACACTTTGAGTAGCAAGGGTTTAGGATCCCAAGGGTTTAGGTTTGCTGCATCCCTAGCAGCCATTTAGCAAACAGCAACACTGGACTGGAGACAGAACACCTGGGTTGAATCATAACTCTACCACTGATTAGCTTTGACCTTGGCCAAATACACCATCCATTCTGTACTCCAGCTGGAAAATGAGTATTAAGATGCCTACTTGATAGAGTGTCGTTGTGAGGTTTTAATAGATGTGAAAAATACCTGGCTCAGACCAGACTCCATAAATATCTATTCCCATCACTGAACTGGTGCTACCTATTTTCAAATATGCCCTCCCTCATCATGAAATATCACCCTTAGACAGCAATTCACCTGTAGCCAGTCAGACCTGATGACCTCACTGGGAAAACTGAGCTGAACTGCATTACTCTAATGAACCACCCTTCAACAAACTGTAAATAATGTCAACAGAATTTGATTTTTCCTCTGAAAGCATAACTCTTACCCATAACTAAACTTGGTCTGATTCTTATTGTAAATCAGAATCAGTTCTTATTTATGTAATTAAACGTCAGGCTTTGCTAATTTAAAGACCTCTTTACTTAAAAATAATAATAAAATAAAACACATCAGAAATGCACATTCATCAACAAAGCTTCCCCACAGAGTTCAGGTGAAAGTGCATGGTTGTCTGGAATGAGACATCCTTAGGAACCCCAGGTCTACCGCTTGCTACCTCCATGCCGTCAGGCAAGTTATTTGATCCTTTCCACTTTCTGTTTCCTCAACAGTAAAATGGAGATGACACCTACTTTACAGGATTGTTTTGAAAATTAAAGGATTTGACGAGGCATCTAATAAATGTCCTCTCTTTTAAGGTTCACATTAGTCTACCAAGAAAATTTAGGCTTCTTGCAAAACAAGGGAAGCTTCTTATATCCTCTCCTCTGAGCATGCATTCATGTGTGAGTGTTTCTATTCAGAGGTACTTATTTTCAAGTGATAAAAGTGGTTGCTATAGAGACTTCTAAATACAACTGACTGGTGTAGCTATAATATTAGAAGCAAGTCTCCAAGGAGTTAGGCCAACTCAAAAATCAAGTCACAGTCTTCTGTTAAGACTCCCACCTATTTTAGCCTACTCTTGATCATCTCTATATTGCTTGCTGGACCATAAGTAATAATAGCTGACATCCACTAAGCCCTTCTTCATGCCAGGTACCATACTAAACCCTTTATAGACTATAAAAGCCCACTCTTATGCACTTCTGACCTTCTTGGCCTCACCTCTTGTTCCATCTTCCCCTATAGGAAGCGCTTGAAGTGGCTTCAGCCTGGCACAACCCAATCAAGTCGTACCTCTTGCCCATGCAATGTAACTCTCAGCTCCCACCACAGGCCTCTCTGTTGATGTCAAGGCTTGGAAAGTTACATAATCCTGCTCGGCGCTCACGTACATAAAGTCCAGAGTGTGTGTGGCTTTAATGCCCCTGCAGGACACTTTTCTCCCCTTGGACAGGTGTCCTGCGGTTGGTTTATATAGCTTCTTAGAGTACGGTCCCACAAGATCAAGCCTTGAGTCACACTTAGTGGTGGCCAACGCAATCACACATTCTCACACTGGCTCTCCCTTCTTCCCTGCCTCACCCTCCTCGTCCCTCACTCTTGTTCCCTGGGATTGCACATCCTAACAAGTAGGCTGTTTTTTGGGAAATCTAGCTAAGAAACATTATCTTTTTTAATGTTCACATTAACCTAACAAGGTAGGTATTTTAATATCTTCATTTTACAGGAGAGGAAACTAAGACTTAGAAAGGCTAAATAACTCACTCCCTGCCCCCAACATCATATGCCCAGCCAAGATTATCCAGGATTTACCAGCATTAATCTCAAACCTTATGTCAAACCATAATGTCTTCCTTCTTCTCCCCCAAACTTTTCACCATAGCTATTTATATGTACAGTAAGTGTGTGAGATGAAGAGAGAGTAAGATGGCAGATGGGAGTTGGAAACACATGCTACTTTAAATTTCACATCCTTTTAAGCTCTTGCTCTTAATATTAGTTAACAGTTTCCAGTATGTCATCAACTTTAATACCCAGGTAAAAATCTCCTAGTTAACGAGTATCTCCCCACTTACCTATCAGGCTATCTATTCAGATCAATGCTCACTCCACCTGCAAGTTGGTGGTAAAGTCCTGGGGAGGGCTCTGAAATAACTGCCCTAAGAACCCTGAATAAGACACAGCTCCAGGCATCGGCCAGGCTCTGGAGCAGGACGATCTAAGCTGTAGCCCATGAACACTGGGCTTTGCAGCCCCTTCCTGGGTTGATCTGAGACAAAGATTTGCGAAGGCGGGTATTTTCATAGCAATTAATTATTTCAACACACTTTACCTATCACCAGGCAACTAAAGGCTCTCCTCATGTGGGTACTGTTAATACCGCTAATCCATCTGACCTTCCTGCAAGGTAAAAATCTCTTCATTTTTATCCCCATTTGGCAGATTTTAATTAACTTCTCAAGGCCAACCAGTTAATCAGCGGAAAGCAGAGATGAAAAGTGGGACACCTGCCTCCCTGTGTGCTCAGAATCACCAGCCATGCTCCCATTGTCTTCCCTGCCAAGCCTTAGGTCTGCAGGAAAAAGTCAATGGCCTTTTCCAGCAGAGAGGAGCAGCACTTGAAAATCCATCAGCCTAAGGTAGTCACACTGCAGGACTGGTTTCCTTCTGAGGCAAAATAAATGATTCCTTTAGCTCTAATATCCCAGGTTTTTCTTTAAGATGGGAATACTTGTACCACATTGTCAAAACTCATGCAGGTTTAAAGATTTTTCTATGAAATTGAAAGCCTTTCTGTTTTAGTAAGATAGTGTTGATGTCATCTGTGTGGCCCCACGTAAACAGACCTACAATATGTTCCTGGTGCCAAATACATGAGGGAAGACAGGGTTCTTAATACAGCTAAGAGGCAAATCAATCAATTCTTAAAAGGGTGAGCTAAGCCTGCAAAGCAGGCAGTTACAGGAGCTGCCTCCAAGCTGCATTTGAGGTTCTACTGTAGGAGCACCAAATTACAGTTTTTGTCTCAAAATAGATAGGAGGTTGAATGGAGCACACAGAGATGTCTGGGTATTTTTGGAGTCTGAGAACGTTTAGTGCCTTCAACACCAAGTCTTCTGTTAAAGCTCCATGAGGCAGGCAAAGGGGAGGTCACCTAGAGAAAGCAATTCCCAGCTTAATGGTCAAGTTATCAAGGGGACAGAGAATCAACAGGCAGGGAAACAGTTCTGTTTTGTTTTTGTGGTGAGAGAGCCAAAAAGAATATTTTTAAACGTTAAATGTTATTGTGTGGGATTTGATATGACTCTTGGCAGTAAACCAACAAAGAAGCAGAATTTCTTTACAAAACTTATAAGGTTAATAGGCTGGGGTGTCTCTACATGAAGGGCTGCTTTTAACAAATCACAGACCACGGATCTGAGTGACCATCTCCGGTCCTCAGCAGTAACACCAGCACATGCGTGCACACGTGCACACCTCCTTACGCTTAAGCCTTTGGAACATGACTTTCTGTGATTTTTTTTTTCTCCTCCTTAATGAGAATTTGGTGTGTATGATTGTCCAGGTCATAATAAGAGATTCATCCTGTTTATTTTCTCAATCAGACTGATGCTAACAAAATCCATTCACCCTTATCCTTCCCCTATCCCCACAAATCATATTAAAGTTTTATATACTTATATGATTTATCTCATCAAAATTAATTTCAAACTAGGTACTAGACACTATTATTTAATATCTCCTGATGGCATAGAATCATAATACGAGGGATCTAGCTAATAAAGAATAACCATAAATGCCTATAAGATAAAACAATGTTTGTAAAATCCTTATCACAGAGCCTGGCACATCGTAATTGCTCAATAAGTGGTAGTTTCTATCACCTTCACCTCCAGTTATACCTGTGGATGGTTAGGCATATTCTGGAGTAAGTTTTAATTGAAAAAGGAATTTAGAATAAGCATCTTTTATCAGAGATTTATTCCAAAAAACAAAGTCAATGGCCAGAGGGTCGTTACAGACTAATGCCAACTCCTAGATCTTCAATTCATTCAAAACTAACAAATATACTCATACTGCAAGATCCTCATCATAATATCTTGTACAATGTCATTGGAAGGGCCATTGTATTTTACTTTAATTTACAAATAATTCTCATATTCAAATAATCATAACTTAAGATTTGGGGTAAATAAAAATAGATTCCACTTAATTGAAACCACGAATGAAATAAACCAGTCTCTCTAAAGAACTGAAAACTCTTTTATATAAAAAAGAAGCCTGATTGTTGCTCAGTCCCTTCTGCCACCATTCCTCTTCTTTTTTTTTTCCCTATCTTGATAGAAATTTATTTATGATTCTTTTATTGATACACATAGGGGTTGGGCCTTGGTCATCCAAACAAAAATTTATTTCAAATAAAGCCTCTTTATGTCTTTGTTTTTCCAGGCAATGCTTCCTTTTTGGAGAAATTTTTTCTTGAGAGACAAAGAAGGGGGGAGGGGAAAGAGAGCAAGAACTAGCCAGAGAGCACATATCACTCAAGCAAGGAAAGAATGGAAAATAAATGACTTGCCTCTGGACTCCACATGGAAGAGTTGTCAGTGGCATAGGAGTCTCCAAATCCCCGGTTCTTGAAAGCTGTCTCCGTCTCCAAGCTGCCCTGAGTGGACTGGCGACTGACGCTGTGGACCACACTGGTCTCCTGGGGAGATGCACCATGGTGCCTGGTATCCCCCACCTCACATGGGGACTGTGAGTGGGCAGAGCTAGGGTCATCTTCACCAGGAGACGGATTCTCAGAATAATTCAGTTGGCTGGTTCCATCCAAGTCTAAATTTGCAATAAGGAAATTATTTTAAATGTATTATTATTTTACACCTTTTTAAGAAGAGAAATTTAGCAGTAGCAACCACACCAATCAAGACCTCAAAAACAAAACCCACCAAATAACACCTACAGAAACAAAATTCCATCCATATGGTGGATAAACTTGGTCCGTATAATCAAAAAGACCATTAGTTCATTATGTGGGATACAAGAAGGTTTAATACTTTCTAATAATATGAGTATAAAGGATGTGTAATTATGTTAGAAGGATAAAATAAACACATTAGCATTTTGTTGGAGCTGATGACCACAAGGCTTTGGGGAAGGATCTAGAAAGCAAGAACAAGAATCTACTGTGGAGATCATATGGTCTCCTGACTCTACCATTCTTCTCTCTCGCCCACGTCCACCGTATTACCCTCTGCTCAAAAGGCTGCGGCGGTTCTCTCAAGTAAAAAGTTCTCTACTTGATCCACAGAAAGAATACTGGGCTTGGATTCGGATGATCTGGGGTTAAATCCTAGCTCTGCCTTAAGAACGTGAACAACATTTGAACTGTCTGAACCTTTTTTTCTTTATCTATAAAATGATGATAAAGCCATTAAAGAGTCATTGTGGACACATGAAATAACATCCACCTGGCAGCCAGCACGTCTTCCATAAATATTAGCCTTGCTTACCTGTCTTGCCCAAACTGGCCTCATCCAACCCAGCAAACCCCATTTTCTACTGCCTCCCAACTCACTGTCACGTGTGGTCTCACTGGTCATGAAGATGCTAGTTGTGTATTTCTGTTCACAGTGGTCCTCAAACCCTCCCTCCTGTCCTCTCCTTCCTGTGCATCCAAAGCTCCGACAACTCCTGAATTCTCCCTGACTTGTTCAGACACAGTGTTTTCTTCTAACCTTAGTGTTATTCTATTCTCCCTTTCTCTCTCAGTACTCCCTCACCCTGTTCACCCCCAGTCTCTCCTTCCACATCTAGGTTACCCTCAGATTGTAGGGAAAAACTCACAAGGTCTTTCTAAGCAATCACTTTCACCCTGACTTGCCTCCCACATCCAAAAAGTAGCCAAAGATGTCTTAGCTCTTTGGCCTCCAGTCTCCTCCAGGAGCCCCCATCCCAGGATGAGAGAAAATTAGAGATACAGACAGGTTGAGTGAGTGGGATAACAAAGTATATATCATAAATTCAGCTCATATTTACACACCGTCTGGTAGCAATTGTTTCCACCGTTAGTCTTAAAGCCCCAGCTAGAACAGAAGCCCCTGGAACGTACTAAGCCCCGTACATCTACTGCACAGTCTTCATCTACCAGTGGGTTTCCCTGAACCCTCAAATAACCTTGAAGGCTAGGCAGATAACAAGTACTTGAAGCAGCCAGGTGGGCAACAATATGGAGTGGTGGTGACAATGGTTCACCAGACAGTATATGACCCACCTATAGTAAGCACACAAACTTAAAAATACATTATCTCCCTCTGCAAACCATATAAAAGCATCCTCAGGCAGACTTGGTTGTCAGGGCACAGCTTCAGACTCCTGATTTGGGATTTTGCAAAACCATAGCAAGCCATTTAGAAACCCCTCTATATGTCTTGTTATTCTTAATAATTCAGTTCAGGTCCCTTGGAAACACTTTCATAGGACACCACAACATTTTCACATTCACATTTTCAGTTATTTGGCAAACACGCTAAAAAAAACGCCACAGAAAATGACAGAATAGAGATATTCCATATGCAAGACCCTACAAGATAAAGCAGAATTTTCTTCTAAGGCTCTAATTAGCACATCCATTCCTCACATACATGAACACTAAAATGTCCTATTAAACAGTGGGTCATCTATCAATGCGTGTAGCACCCAGCAGGATTTCAGCACAAAATCTAACTTTGCCAAGAAATTACCCCCATAAAATTGTCTCATGACTTTAACTCCTACAGTGATAATACCTAGATCAGTAATAAGGGAATGTTCAAAAACTACATTAAGCTTTGAAAAGCTATTCATAACTGAAAAACGTAAGAACTATATTAATGTAACAAACCATTTTCCTTGACAGACAAGCAAGGAATGAATTAGAAAAACAGATCTGGGGAACAAGTCAGGTTGCAAGGAGGAGGCCAGGAGAGGTGAGTCACCATGACGTAAAGCGGTCTTCCCGCGCTTTAGATTAAAGCAGGTCACGTCACCTTAGACACGTACGGAAGAGTAATGGCCTGTTGTCAGAGAAACGTATTCTGGCTTCTTAGAGATCATAGGGCATAATTATGTCACATCAACTATATTTATTTCAGTAGAGAAAATCTTGAATCTGTTTAGTCCACATCTCACTTTGACAGAGTGTAACCCTACTATCCAATCACTTTCTTTTACACTCCCAAACCACCCCCCACCACCAACCATATACAAATACTTTTGCTTACCAACTATGATGATCAGTTTTATGTGTCAACTTGGCTAGCCTATAGGCCCCGATTATTCAATCAGATGCTAATCTAGGTATTGCTGTGAAGGTATTTTGTAGATGTGATTAAAGCCCTTAAGCAGTTGACTTGAAGTAAAGATTATCCTACACCAAAAAAGAAAAAAAAGATTATCCTACATCATCAGTTCACTGAAAGGCCTTAAAAGAAGAACTGAGGCATCTCTGGAGAAGAGAAAATTTCACCTATGGATGGCAGCTTTCACTCATACCTAAGAGTTTCAGCCTACCCTTGCCATAGGTTGTCCTATGGATTTCAGAGCTGTGCATTTCTGTTTCCTAGCCAGCCCCCACAGTCACATAAACCAACTCTTTGCAATAAATCTCTTTATACATGTATCAGCTTGATATCATCCTGACATATTTGAAATCCTGATTGGTACACTATCTCAAATGAAACTGAGCACAGATTCTGGGGGAAATTGAGCAGTTTTAAACGTCTAGCTTTTATGAAACATCCTAAGAACTAAATATTTCACAAGTAAAAATAAGACTTTGCTCAAAAACAAAAACAAAATAAAAGCCCCAATAAGTGGACTATTATTCTGCAGCGACCTGATCCAGATTATATCTGCAGTGATCTGATCCAGATCACTTAGCCCGAACCCTCTTTGACAATTAAAGCACAATAACACTAAGTCAGATACGCGAGGCAAGAGAGAACTTGCCTTGACTATGAAGATAGCATTGCCTTGGTTCTCATAACCTCACTACTCCATCTAGAAAAAAGGATCTCACTGAAGATGAAACATGAAACAACCCACCAGTAAACTCATTCACGGTTCAGATTTTACTTCAATTTGGACCTTTAATTTCACTGGTTCAACATTTTTAATGCATTTTTAAAGTGGAAGAATTGTCTAAAATTAAATTTGATCTCAGAAAATCATGTTTAAGGTAGACTGAAAAACAGCTAAGAACAAGCAAAAAAAAAATCCTCTCTGGGGCACATGCTTAATGTCTTCATTATCCTCTATTGCTGAAACAAATTCACTAATCTAAAGATGAACAAAAAGAAATGACAGAAAAATCATGCAATAAAAATTACATTAACATTTCCATGGCATTTGATAACCTAAAATGTAGCATGCAGTTATCCATTCCTATGAAAATCCTGACTTTCTTCAAAATCTGCAGGTAATTCATTCAATGTAGTGGACGTTTTCCTCTCTTCAGCAGAGAAAAATTTACCTTTCCTATCACCATCTCTCAAAAAATGCAGAATAACCAGTTATGACAGAAGTTGTTGCTAATTCCAGGTAGGGTAAAGGTCAGAGTGGTTGTCAGAACTCTAAGAACATCGCTGTTTGTATAAATCAGAAACTGGATACCTGGGCTTCTGGGAAATGGAGCCATTACCTGTATAATTAAACAAGCTACTCCTAGGGAGTCAACTGCTATTGACTTTCATTAGCTCACATTCGCCTTCTCAACGGAGAAAGAAGAATGCTGTGACGCAGCGCCAGAGAGAGAAGGGAGAGAGGAGAGAGGGTGTGAGGAAATTACAGAGGCGCAGTAGCCACTGACATTATGCTGTGGCTACACGAGGCATTTATTGCTTGGCTTACTTTGGGCTAAAAAGGATAGTAATAAAATATGTTATGTTGGCCCATATCAATAAGTAAAATTACATGATGGAAAGCAAATTATTATATTCCTGTTGAAAAAGAGGGTTCTTTTTGTTAATTCTCTTTTTCTTCCTTTGTTCTTTTTCCACCTGCCTCATCCACATCGTCAAGTCAGAAATTTCTTCTCTGTTATCTTCTCTCAATTTTGAGCTCTCCTTTTTCTCTTTCTTCTGCTAAGTGTCGAAAAACATGGAAGATCTACAACTATGCTGCCATTGGTTTGACTGACCACATGTCCAAAAGGAAGGAAAAGATTAGAAAATCCAGATCATTCAGACCAGGTCACCAAGGTGGACAGCGTGACATCTTCTCCAGGTTTTTACCAAATATACTTCACAGACCCTCCCCTGGTCCAGTGTCCTGTGCCTATTCAGGGTTCTGGGCATAAAGGAGTCAGAAAGATGCCTGACCTTTGCTCTGGAAAGCACTAAGAAATACTGTACCGTTCTTTTTGCAGGCTATCTTGTGTAAGGGGTAGAGAGGGAGGCGGACTCTGAACAAGACCTCCCCACCGTCCCAAGCTGTGCTGACCCTCCCTCCAAGTATCTTCCCCGGCCCTTGGCGACAGGTGAACTTAGTATGAAGATGCTAGAAGATGGCATAGCTTGCTCTTGCCCAGTAATTCTCATGTTGGGGGGTGGTCCAGAAACTACAGAGAACGAGGGAGAGCGTGTAGGGCATGTGTTGTTTGAAAAAGGTTATTCAGTATTATCATAGTACATATTTTTATTTGGAAGATAAAACATACCTATTGTTTTAATAATACAAACTATTAAAAGAAAGGCTTCAAAAATCTTCTGTGGTTATATAGATATACGGAAAATAGACTCTATGATTCCAAATGGGAGACAAGGCACAGCATCTCAATGTCAGCAGACAGGTATGTGAAATTTTTGTACTTAGAAGGGAATAAGATTATATAAAGCTTGATAAATACCATTCTAGTCATCAATGTTCAAAATAAACAAAGCAGTAACCTACAAGGAAGGAAGGGGTCCCACAGATCAGGGATCAAGACCTGGGCACTTCTGATCCATCCCTCTCCCAGTCCCCTGCATGATGGCCCCCTGAGAGTTTAGGAGCAGCCCTTCTGCCCTGTCCCAGCCCGTGGGTCCTGCCCCATGTTCTCTTCCTCTCTGAACTCTCAGATGCAAGTGCAGGGAAGTGACTCAAAAACGCTCTTACCACTAGCCACCCCTGGTCTAGATAAAGGAAACGGCTGTGGCAAAGGATACCTTCACAGGCAGACACCCCTGTGCCATCCTCTTCGTGGGGAGAGAGCAAGCGGCCAAATTTTGGTTTCTGCTCCAATCCCGTCTGCTTTCCTTTCTTAGATGCTCCTGAACGGAAACTCTGGAACCGGGACACAGAAATCTCAAATTGTTTGATCACCTCCTCGTCACTGTCAGAAGATGTGCACGGCTCTTCATCACCTCCAAAGCTGTTAACTAGGAGCAAACAAGAGCCATGAGTCTCTTGAGGGGCCCACGAGAACGAAGAGATGACATTCCAGAGAAATAAAGAAGGTGAATGATTAGTCTGGATAGAGCAGGCCCAAACTTCATAGAATTTAAAGTACATTTGAAACACAAATTTGAATCCAAAGGAATAAAACAGGAAGAGAAGGCTCAAGAGAGAAATTAGAAATATACGGCTAGAACCCAGGAGAAACCACTGGGATACCCGTAATCAACATAACAGGCCCTCTTGACTTGTTACGGTGCTGACACATGTCCTAACCGGGGACAGGACAGTTATGTGGGCACGTGCCCCACGTGCAGTTCTAGTCAATGACGACAGAAAATGTGCTCTTTGCCTTGTCTCATTTACTAAAACACACAGAGCCAAGCCCCACTTTGGAGAAGAGATATTTGCAATTGAGATTTAACAAAAGCTTCCTGGTTTTCAAAAAAGACACCCATACTGTGTGTGTTTTTTGAAAAAAGACAAAACTAGTTCATACTAGAAATATCCGGATGCTCTTCTCAGCACCAAGAACCCAACCCAAACACTCTTTGAATTGTTCATACCACTTTCCCCACAACCCCCACACTGGGCCTCTTTCAGTTTCTCCAACATGCCCAGATCCTTCCTGCCTTTGAGTTCTCTCCATTTGCTGTTCCTTCTGCCCGAAAGGCTCCCTCCTCCGGGTGTTTACGTGGCTGGCTGCTCTCCCCATTCAGGTCTCAGCTGGACTTTCACTTCATCCTAAACTCCCTGATGTCCTACGTTCAGCAGCTCTCTTCACAGCACTTATCATCTTTATTTCTCTCTGTTCCCCCATAACTTCCGTGAAAATAAAGACATCACCTGTTTTGTGAACTGATATCTCCCCATGATGTAAACCAATGCCTGCTGCATAGTAAGTGCTTAATAAGCACTTGTTACATGCTGAATAAATTGGCGAACACCCAGTGTTTTCTCCCAAGCCCAAACACCCCCCACATATACTCACACACACTTTCCTGTGCCTGGAATCCTATTCTCCGGCCCCAACTAGCCTAGTCAAGAATCTAGCTCATCATTCAGGTTTTAGCATAGACATCACTTCTTCCAGAAAGCCCTTCCTTGACCCCTTAAATCAGGTTCAGGGCTCCTTCCAGTTGCTGTGAAATAGCTCTCTGTCCTGCCCTTTCAGTGCTCCCTCAGCGTTGTGGCAGAATTACCTGTTTATTGCCAACCATTACACCCAACCTGTACATACCACGCGGGTGAGGGGCACATCAGACTGCCCGCCTTTGTAGCCCCAAGGCATATCTCTGTGCCAGGCACGTGGCAGACTACTTTGTAAATATTTGCTGAATGAGAATAGGAAACAATAAATAATGGGGAATTATTTTTTAAAGATTTCCTCCTTCCATCCAAAAGTCATACAGTGATTCCAGGGAAGAATATAGTTGTTCACTCACAGACGGGTTCTGAAGATCACTTATGAATCAGAAGCTAAGAAGAAATAAAGAGCCATATTTTAAGTGAGAGAAAACACTTTAAACACCAGCCTAGTCAAAACATTTATTCTCTGGATTAAAAGTTGATATTCCTGAGGTTCTTTGGAATACTGGTAATAATAACAAACACTTATTGAGTGCTTATTTCTTTGTGCCAGGAACTGTTCTAAGTTCCTAACACATATTATCTCATTTAATCCACACAAAACCCCTATTACTGTTCCCATTTTCCAAGTAAGAAAATTGAGGCAGAGAGAGTCTACAACTGGCTGAAGATCACACTGCCAATAAGGGGTAGAATCAAAATTTGAATCAAGATAGCCTGTCTCTAGAGGCCATGTTTCTAATCACTACACTAGAGAACCAGAGAGAAGTGGTGGAAAGAACTCTTACTCTGTATACTTGCATTAACTAGCTGGGGTCCCTGTGGCCAAGTCCCTTAACCTCTCTGGCCCTGTTTCATCATTTGTGGATCATTTCTAACATCTGCATCATTTCTCAGGTCTTTTCTAGATTTAATTCTCCAACTCCAGACTTTCTTCCCACAGGCATCAACATTTGATCTGTTTCTCTCTTTTGTGGAGCAGCTGATCCAAGACCACAAGAACACATCACTGTCAGCTCACTCAATTCTATTGGCTGTGACCAGCACTATGGTAAGACAGGAAGAGTTAAGTGTCAAAAGAGACTCAATTTCCCACTCATACTCCAATACCGTCCCAACAGAAAACCATCACAATGGGCAGTCTCCTCATGTCCCAACATGCTGGACAGACTGCTCTGGTGTAGGATGGACCATCACACATGGGAGAGATCCAGAGACCAATAGGAGCAAAATTAAACTCCATGTTTAGAGTGTAGGACCAGCTAAGTACCTGGGAGGGCGTCAGGGGGATATACGTAGGGGAGGGGTGGTTAGATTAGACATCTATTGGAGCTCTTTCCAACTCTGAGATTCCATTCCATTTGTATTACTAGGCCAGTTTTTTTAAAATTTAAATAGTCATAAGTCATCAGTTGCAAATTAAGTGAGTTAGTCCAAGGATATTTCCCCATGTACAAAATCAATAATTAGAATTCATTAATTTACCAGTATGTGGTCCTTGATTTTCTCTCCAGTGAGTCACTGATCATCCACAGACCAAAGATTCTCCTCATTTGGTATAACAGTCAGAACAGTAATTATAATATTTCTCATTTACTAAACATATACTATATGCCAGGCACCTTCTTGGGACTTTGGATATATTGTCTCTTTTAATCATCAGAGCAACACCATAGAGTAGGGATTATTCTTCTTCTTCCCAGTGCAGAGAGAGGAAACAGAGGCACAGAGAGTTAAGTAACCTGCCCTACACAACAAAGTTACCAAACTAACAAAGCCGGACTTGACCATGAACCTATGTCCTTAGCCACTGTGCGTATCATCAGACATTATATCAGGACACTAGAGCCAAACCTAGCTTACTTTTCAGAATGAGGTGAGAAGGGCTCTGCCACTTCCACTCTGAAATCTGCCAGGAGGTTGCTTCCTTTGTGAGAAGAGCAGAGCAGTGGGAAGAACAGTCAGTCCCTGTGGGAGTGAAGGCATCCAGGCAGGCTGCAGTATAACTGGCCTATGCTCCTCGTGGGATTATAAATACAACTGCACTTGTTATTCTAAGCCTCACTCCCCAAGGATCTCAGGGAATTCTCCATCTAAAAAGGAAACCTGCCATCCCTCCTAAAAACCACTGAGCAGCAACAGAAGCAGCAATAGAAATAGTGGTGCTATTACAATAATAAAAGCAATCCCATAAACAGCATTCATTATGTGCCAGGCACTGCTCTAGAACCTTACAAAGGTTAACATACTTACTCCTCACAATAATCCAATGAATGGGTACTTTATTATCCCCATTCTGTGGATGAGGAAACTGAGGCACAGTGAGGTTAGTAATCTGCCACGGTCATGACAGTTAATAAATAGTGGAATCAATATTCAAACCCAGGCTGTCTTGCTCCAAAGTCAATGTTATTAATGACCACATTATGCTCCCTCTACCATCTGTTGTCTCAAGCAAAAAACTTGTTAAGTTCTCCTCAAAATCTACACCACTGTGTTTTATCACTAAGAAGACAAAATCACATAGGTTGGGCTGAAAAGGATTTTCATGAGCATCTATCTATTCCCTCATTTTCACAAAGAGAAGCCAAAACCCAAAGTGATTTGCCCATGGTTATACAAGCCAGGACCAGTGCAGGTCTCCAGGGCTCTAAGCCAAAGGTTTTGCCACATTGTTTTCCAAGCTCTCTTGCCACTGGGTTATTTTTTCAAATTCAAATTTTGACTCAGCTTTTTGAAAGATTCCAGCTACTTGCCTTGGAATGAGTCTATGTCAAAATAGTCTATGTCAAAATAAATAGCTGATCTGGATTTCATTCAACTTAAATCTTTGAAAGTCACAACGTCTCATTTAAGTTGTGGCACTTATTTCATAGATAAGATACTAATTTCTGAAACATCAAATAAATACCAAGTTCAAATCCCTTTCAAGGTAAGTATCTGGGAAACAGCCAGTGGGAATTTGTATTAAAATCTTTAGGGGCTGGCCCAGTGGCGCAGCAGTTAAGTGCGCGCGGTCCGCTTCAGCGGCCCAGGGTTCACAGGTCCGGATCCCAGGTGCGCACCGACGTACTGCTTGTCAAGTCATGCTGTGGCAGCGTCCCATATAAAGTAGAGGAAGATGGGCACAGATGTTAGCCCAGGGCCAATCTTCCTCGGCAAAAAAAAGAGGAGGATTGGCATCAGATGTTAGCTCAGGGCTAATCTTTCTCACCCAAAAAAAAAAAAAAATCTTTACCTTTTCATCCAATTAGCTTACTGAAATAACAGAAAAACAGTTGCACAATTGCCATCAGTGTGAATACATCTTGAAGTTGAGATTGTTCATTTCACTCAATCACAGAACAGACAGATCTTAGATATTACCTAAATATCTACCACCAAAGAGAAATCAGACTCTTCTGCAATCTTTCTGATGCATGGCCCCCAGCTTCATCCTTTGTTCACACAGTACCAAGGTGCTACTGTGGGCTTCTTACACTGGTAGGAAGTTCACAACTTTGACAGGCAGAGAGAGCTATCTGTAGACCCATCAATGTTGAGTCCCTGCTGCAATGGAGTCAGAAGGTCCCTCCCTCTAATTTCCAATGATTTTTTTTTCTAGTTTAAGTAAGGAGAGGCAGAGGAAATGCCATCTTCATCTTCCACATTTAAGAGACAGGAAGGTGGGGTCCCAGTGCCACAGAAACTGCCTGTCAGGTGTAAGATCAGTCGAGGCTAGAGTGGTTAAGAGTGCAGAATCTGGAGTCAAGCTGCCTTAGTTTCAATCTGGGATCTTCCATTTGCTAGTTTGAGACCTAAGCAAATTACTTAATCTTTCTGAGCTTCAGTGTTCTTATTTTGATATTACTACTTCTTAAAATTGTTGAGAGGACTAAAGGAGATAAACTATGCA